GAAAATATGAGAAGATCTGATTAACAGCTCTAAAATCTATCTATCTATCTATCTATCTATCTATCTATCTATCTATCTATCTATCTATCTAAATATGAAATAAAGAAAGAGATTTGCTTGCAGATTCCACAATATAAACAGAATGTATGCTGTCGATTTATGCTGCCAATAGTGGTAAAAAAAACACTTAGAGGCTCATGTGCATTTGAATTTAAATAACCATCATGATTTACCCAAGTATTGAGGTAACCATCATGCTGTGATTTTGGCATTTTAAATTTTGTACATGATCAGGGAATAGTTGTGCTTATTCTCTTCTAGCATTCCGAGTAAAAACACATAAATAAATAAAAATGGTGCACATATTTTATGTATGCAGTCTATAGAGAGAGCAGAGCTGAATAAGCATGTTTTCTAGACCTTAAATGGAATATTATAGGAATAGAATCATAAAAGTATCCAAACTGACGTTTCTTTAGAATATTACAGGATATGTTCACAAAAAAAAATGGTAATTTCTTTACCCTGCATTTAGGAGTTAAAAAAAAAGACTTCTTCAGAAAACTATCTGTGGTCGTATTCACTGAAAGCATTGACTTCCAGCTGGGGGGTACTGGGGGTACTTCATGGAGAGGTTTGAGAACCACTGTAATAGGGGATCAAGGTGATTTAAAATGTATTTAAAATATGGCAAAACAAATTATTAAAATAAACTAAATTTCAAAATCATGATATTTCATTTTTCTAATAAATATACGTTTTACCAATTATGCCGGATACAAATTGTAAGTAAAAAATTATATTATAAAAATCTGTATCCTTATCCTTAAGACTAATGTAAAGTCATTGGTTTAAAAGAGTGGGAACCCTCTATTCACAGAAACTAGGAGTGCCCATAGTTTAAAATAAGTTTTAAAAACAAAACGAGGGCTATAGGGTTTTGAACATGTTTACAACGGAGGTCTTGGAGTCAAAAAGGTGAAAGCCACTGGCATACAACTTGTTTGCGCTACGTTTTTAACTCTTTGCATCCTTTCTAAGCTTGAGAGTTACATTCTCTATTTATTATAATAGACTTTAGTCAGGATAGAGTCATATTTAATTTTTGATAGGAATGAAAACAAGGCTGTGAGGGACAGAAATAATAATTAATAATAGTAATTCCTTACATTTATATAGCGCTTTTCCGGGCACTCAAAGCGCTTTACATAGAAGGGGGGAATCTCCTCATCCACCACCAGTGTGCAGCTTCCACCTGGATGATGTGACGGCAGCCATATAGCGCCAGAACGCCCACCACACACCAGCTTATTGGTGGAGCGGAGACAGAGTGATGAAGCCAATCAGCAGATATGGGGATGATTAGGAGGCCATGATGGTCAGAGGCCAATGGGCAAATTTGGCCAGGATGCCAGGGTTACACCCCTACTGTTTTTCGAAGGACATCCTGGGATTTTTAATGGCCACAGAGAGTCAGGACCTCGGTTTAACGTCTCATTCAAAGGACAGTGCTTTTTGTCAGTATAGTGTCCCCGTCACTACACTGGGGCGTTAGGACCCACACAGACCACAGGGTGAGCACCCCCTGCTGGCCTCACTAACACCTCTTCCAGCAGCAACCTAGTTTTCCCAGGAGGTCTCCCATCCAGGTACTGACCAGGCTCAGCCCTGCTTAGCTTCAGTGGGCAACCAGTCTTGGGCTACAGGGTGATATGGCTGCTGGCAAATACAGGGTGTTCAATGGATTCTACTTTTGTTTAAAAACATGCCAGATGTTCAGCTGGTGAAATGTCTTTCTGGAATAAATAAATAAGTAGACAAACACTCCATTAAACTGTTTTGAAAATTAAGGGCTCTAGAACCTTTATACAGTGCACGCTATTGCAAAGACTTTTAGTCTGTCCCTCAAAGCCTCGTTTTCATCCACATAAAATTCGACATGGCGTCTAACCTGACTAAGGTCTCTTGAATGGAGAAACGAGAGCAGCACAGAATTTGTGTCAGGAGGGTTTTGGATAACACAGGGTGAGTAAACGATGACACAGTTTCCATTTTTGGGTGAGCTGTCTTTTACAAATTCAGTTGTGGAAAAGTACAGAAAAGTGAGGGGGTTGTACTGTACCCATCACATAGTTCTTCATGTTGAGCTATAGCAATAGCATGAGGTGGCGGGATCTGTCCACATGAGGTCACACCAGCAGGACTGATGGTATTCACTGGGGAACTTCAAGCAGATGTTTATATAGATTAGGACATGTGGTGGACTCGGAGGGAAAGGGTCTGTCCCTAATTGAGTCTAGTGACCCATACCTCCCATTTTATTACACGTCATCTTTGGAACTGTAGCCATTAAATCACTCACAGATGGAACTTTACAACTGCTACACCTTCTCAAGGGGGCCCCTGTCACACATGGCAGCATGACAATAGGGCCTTTCGCACCGCAGGAACCTTTTCATAGTACCAGAACTAATTGTGGAACTACCCACTTTTCAGCATGTTCGCACCGCCGGAACTGGGAGCGATTTTAGTACCGGACTGCCTTTTCTGAGAACCAAATTAGCTCCTTCTCCGGAGCAGGGTCTAACCAGCACAACTGGTAATAATCGTGACACAAGTAGACATTGATTGGCCAAACGCGTATGAAAACGCCCTCACCCGCCATGATTTAAAACTCCGTGTAAACATACTGTAAGCATGTCAACTTATTTCGCAAGTATGGAGAACAGCGATAGATGGACAGACGCTGAAGTGAAGGCCCTTGTAGCACTGCCAGTTGTCATTGGAGATTCTTAGTCCTCCTTCCCGTTCTTTCAATCGCTTTACGTATACGTCGACTTTCCATGTCCATTATTGTGAATCCCGCGAGACACAACAAACACAGCTCCGATCACAGCGTCCTCCATCCTCCTGTTGTTCATGTTCTTCTTTGTTTCTGTTGTTGAACGCCGCGCACAAATGACGACGCTGTCGATCGGCTTACGTCACTTCTTAGTACACACTGTCGGTGCGCATGCAACCCTTTAAATGGTACTGGACAATAGTTCGCGCAAAATCGTCCCAGTACTTTAGTACCGTACGTTTAGTTTTGGAACTAAAGCGGTGCGAAAGGGCCTATTAGGGATACCATTGCTGGAGTTACCCGTCACAGGAATGAACAAATCTTTGCAGTGACTCGCCATTGTACTACTCAGAGGTGCTCTCTGAAGTACACCTAGATATGTGACCATGGACCACAAAACCAGTCATAAGGGTCAATTTCTCGAAATTGAGATTTCTCTCAATTCTTTTAGTTTTAGTAACTTGTAGTTACAACATCTACCAGTAGAGGCTGTTTAATCCGTCAAACCTCCTGCACAAATTACTCTTATATTTAACCCATTTTACCACCTGGCACCATTCTTGTATGTGATGCCCACTTTTCACAAACTAATCAATCTCCAATGGGAAAAAAAGAATCCTCATTCTACATTTTGTTTTCTCATTAAATATCTTGTTTCATTTCACTTGTTGAAATTCGTCAGATTACTGAAGTAAAATGGGTTGCAACTGCTGTTTCATGTTGCCTTTATTGCTCTTCTTCAGTTTTTCGAACCCAGTTTTATCCATCCTTCCATTTTGCTCAATTCTCATATCTCCTACGCAGCTAGTTAAAAGAGCCCATCCGCAATCATCAAATTCTTCTCGCTGGAACTGTTAGGTCAAGTTACATCAAAGAGATCAAGAAGGATCAAGCTCTTAAAAGGGACAGGCTCCAGCTCCCATCATCAGAAACAGGTGGAAGTCCTCATTCCAAGGACAAAGCCGAGATCGCCATCTATAAAACCTTTGTAATTCACTAAGAAGTTTTCTTTTAAAGTGACACCCATTTTTGGGGGCGGGTTGAGTTCAAATATAACGTCTTGCTATATGGTTTCAGGGTTAAGCGTGCATGATTGCATCTCAGGGTGTCGTTGGAGTCACACTTAAATTTGACTCTGCATTTGATGGTATTAATCTACAAAGGAGCATGGGTATGATAATCCAGTGAAGCCTGAAGTCCTAATCAGCAACGTGGTATAAGATCCTAATGAAAAATCCTGCAGTCGCATTTCAGAGCATCAGATAATATATGAACGTCATAAAAGCAAACAAACAAAATTTTTATTCAGATCAATTTGGTGTGCTCAGTGTTCTATGTTTTGCGTGCACTCCATTGAATCAGTAAACAACCTTGACCATGAACATAAATCATGAGGTGCCATCTAAGAAGTGGACTTCAGTAGACAAGCAGGAGACATCTGTCAAACAGACTCTCCTTTCGTAACCAGAGTGTCTCTATTGGTTGCAGATGACACCCCATTTCATGAAGAAAGACTAACTACTTCAAGGCTGTGCAGTTTTCCTTTCACGTACCCTGACATAGAGAGATTATGGGAGTAAAGTTGACAGCTTGTATACTAGTTCAAATGGGAGATGACTAATTTGTTTGTATGGGTAATATTGGATAATTTGTTTGTGTGGATGTGGGTATTTAGAAATGAAATCACACTTGGTTGATCTAAGTCTAGGGTGGATAAACAGGCAGAGGAATCTTTAAAGCGGCAGATCAAATCCTGTTTTTATTTAACCATTCGTCTGTTTGCATTAGTGATTTTTTTGCAGAAGCCCGCTATTTTCTGACATATCTAAATAAAACCACATCAAATGTGCTCTTGTGCTGCTAGCGAAACCAGTACTGCACTGTATTTTCCAACGAAGAGTGTTTTGGTTGGCCTGCACGTGTTTCTCCGTGTGTCTGTCTGTGAAGTGATGTAGGCCCCTTTGAAATGACTCAGCTGAGCCCCGACAGAAGTGCCACACTCTTGACCTCCCATAGGTGGAAAGTAAATATTAGCTTCAGGTGTACTGATTGGCATTGCCCTCCATCTGCCACTCTCATCTGACGCTGACCAGTCTCCAGAAGGACTGTACTGAATTCTAAAGGAAAAGCTTTTATCAACTGAAAACATCTACTGATTTATGCCTAATGTATTTTATTTAATCTGAGAAAACATCTAATTAGTGTTTGCTAAGTCAAATATTACATGGCTATTGTGCAATAAAATAGCAAAAAAATCTAGAGACCGGAATATCGAAGAGACTTGGGGGTGGGCTTGTTTGTTTAGCCACCTAGCAACCTCCCAGAACACCATAGCAACCACAGAGCAACATGCTTCAAACATGCAGAACACCTTAACAAGCACATAGCAACTATTTCAGTACTATACTGTCGTGGCTGCAACATATCCATAAGCAAGCACCTCTTACGTTTTCACTGGAAAATGTTATATACACTCTAAAAAAATGCTGGGTTAAATACAACCCAGTGCTGGGTAAAATATGGACAAACCCAGCAATTTGGGTTGTTTTGACAAATTTGGGTTAAACCCAAATGTTTAACCCAACCTTCTGGGTAGTAACCCAACCGTTGGGTCAAAACAACCCAATTGCTGGGTTTGTCCCTACTTTACCCAGCACTGGGTTGTATTTAACCCAGCATTTTTTAGAGTGTACACAGAAGAGGCTTATTCGCACTAAGCGCAAATAGAATTAGATGCTTTTTACACTAAGTGCAAATAGTGATAAATGACAAAAAGTGTAAATAGTGTTACCTAGATGTCATTCAATACCAGTGGCAGATACTATTTGCATAATAAGCTTCATGTGTCGCATTCAAAGTATGCAATTTTTTAATTCTTTATTTATAACACATTTTAAAAGATAACAATAAAGCCCAAGATCCGCTCAGAGTCATAAGATAAGGAGATTAAAAAAGAGATAAGTATAAATAAATAAATATATACAATTACATAAAGAATATCAATTATGTGACAGAAAAGATCAAACTCATGACTAAAACAAAATACAGAGTACATGTATAACTTTGTAAAGTCGCAACAAGGTCCGACCAAAATTGTATTGTCCTTCCGGTGGAAAGTGTGCTATTAAATAACTGTTAGGCCGTTTATTTCCACTTTTCAAATATTGTCTTCATATTTATAAAAAATAAATAAATAAATAATACACCTCCCTGAGCTGATGTGAGATAGGAATAGAAGAGGCGAAAAGATGAATTTAAACTTGGGTCAGTTGCATCAAAAGTGAAAGTGTCCTTACATTCTTAGGCACTCTGCCAGCTGTTGGACTGGTTTGGTGGGTGCAGTTAGTGTAAATAACCTTTGACAAAATAGACACTCCGTATAAGTATTTTCCCCATAAGTCATAGATTCGGTCTCCATGTGAAATTTCAGAATGTTTTCTCAGTGCTACAAAATACACAGCATTTGTATATCTCCTCTATCGTCCTGTGCCAGTGAGATGTCATAGTCATAACTGCTGCTGGCACATATCAGGCCTTTCTAAGAGCCTGGCACCTGCTTTGATGTTGTGCTTTAGTATGATGTAGCTCAGTTTGCGCCAAACCATGCCAGTTCCAACCAGCTCCCTGATGATGTGTCTTTCATCAAGATGACATCATTCCACAGCCTGATTACTTTCCATCCATGTTTCCAGCACTGGGAATGTACTTTTAGGTTCCTGGAATAAGCATCTCTGTTTTTGTCTTTGGTAGAGCATGCACATCTGAGCGGTTAGTTGATGTTACTCTTTATTCATCAGCGTTCTCATCTTGGCATGGCATCGCTCTGCAAAAAAAATCAGAAAATCATCTGTTTGGAGTCTTGGTATTATGTCCTTTCTCCTGAACTCTTTGTTCTCATACGAAAGAAAAATCACTAACGAGAACTTTTTGAAATATCTTTTTCATAGCAATGAAATTAAATGGATAGTCTCTTGCTTTACAGGTCTTTCTCATGCCAGTAATCTCAAATGTGTCTCCTTAATTTTCAGCACAGTTTCAAAGGAGATCTTAACAATGTTTCAAACTGTGATCATTTGCTTATTTGCACATTTGTGCTTTTATTGATTATTTCAAATTATTGAATTTATTTTAGCTGAATAAATCCTTTTTCTTGATTCTGAAGCTTGTTCATTGATTGATAACGGGTGTATTGATTCTTGCTTTATGAATGGGAGCGATATAGTTTTGTCGCCATGCACCGCTAGTTTTCATTGTAGACAAGGAATGAACTGTTAAAAAAATTACTAAGGATTATTCTACCATTAAAAGTTTGACGAGCCGTTTACCCAGACATGAGGAGACATGCGCATCAGGTACACTCACACACATAGATACATCACTCAAGCACACATTTAAAATATAAAAATCAAAAGACTTACACACATGCAATTCACAAACAGGCATTGAGACTGTACATGAAACTTGTTTTAGCAACCCCCCCCCCCCCAATATAGTTTGCATGGCAGTGACATGTCATGTGTCATGTCACACACACTAGAACAAGTCCAAATGCACTTGTTCACAAATCTTGTGCACTGTAAATATATTTATACGGTTAGTCCCCGAGTCTGATTGGCTGAGTGTCGTTACAAGAGTGCTGATATGGAACATTTGACTGTTTGCATCATTAATTTGTTCCAGACAAACTGTTTCAGTGTCGCTTTCTGCAGGTCACATCACCATGCCAGAAGGTGACAACAAGTGATTGTCATTAGCTATGTTTCCATCACCCTATTTTAATGCGCATTTTGAAGTATCGCATGAGAAACGAGTGATTGAAACGATAAATTTAGAATAAAAATCCCTTAATTCGCAAAAAAGTTTTTACGCTCGCTTGAGGTGGTTTTTGACTTGTGCGAAAAAGGGTTGATGCGAATAATGGGAGATGGAAATGCATTTTGCGAATAAATTCCACCAAGCGCATCAAAAAATTCATGTGACTTTGCGCTATGGGACGGCAAAACCTGACTAACCAGCGGACCGATCTCATTCACAGCATCTGAAATGTTGTTATGGTCATTCGAAAATGCACGAGCAAAGTCTGTCATCAAAGTGTTTCTGTATAATTGCCTCCCAGAAATGTCTTACACAACTGCGTTCCCAAACAGCAGCATCCACCTCTGAAAGCAATGACCGCATTGTGATTCGTCTGCTCACTCTGAAGTGCAAGTCATTTATTATATATGAAAATTATTATATTCTCCTACTTTTCTTAGTGATTTATAGTGCCAGTTTATCAGGAAGTGACGATTTTGTTCTCTTTGACTTGTTGGATGGAAACGATGCTTGTTCGCAAATGTTTTATGCGATATTCGCAACTTTGGATGGAAACCCGGCTTTTGAATCATTCACTCAACTGATTTATTTTATTTATTTTTTTAATGTGTAGATTCTTTCAGGAACGTGTGTTTGTTTGAAACTGCTTTTGTTAGCGTAACAAAAGTAGACAAAGCAACTGGCAATATGTGTAAAAACTGGAAGTTACTCAATAAGTAATATCAAACTCATTTTCATACTATTACATACTATACTACTATAAAGTCATACTATTGGTCAGCATGGCTGTACCTGATGCATTCGGTCAGCAGCTTCTGGTATTAACATGTTACTTTAAAAAGTGATTGAAGAAACATTGACAGACGATGAAGAAACATTTAAGGATCTATATTATATATAGGACACCTGGGTCAAATGTAATCAAATTGTGACTCTTATATGACACTATGTGAACTCAAGTTGCTCTTTGGATCATTTTTTAATGATGCTTGAGAACGTGATAATCAGATTTTACACAAACCTAATGTTAGATGGAGTGATGTTGTCAAGCAATAGAGAGACATACAAAATACTAAATCCTGAATTTACATTTATCTATTAAGCATTCACTCAAATTACTATGATGATAATAATACAATTTGTAATAGAACAAACAGAAAAGTATTACATTAAAAAAGAATGCAACGGAAATATTTTCATTAGTTTTATTTTTTATTGAACACCATATTATTTATATAAAATGTACCCCCGCTTTATGAATATAAAATATGGTGGTCATGCAGTGTAATAGGTTTTTGAAATAGGCTATGCTGATTTATATGAAAAACAATGAATCACTTCTGTTTGTCAGAGACATAATCTAAATCTAAACATGATTTGGTGCAGAAGGCATTTAAGCCATTTTCCCACAGACTATGTGCACATCAGGCAGGTATAAAAGAAGTCAAACTGTAACCAGACATGAAAGCACAGCTCTCAGAACTACATCCGAAACCAGATGAAGGATCTTCCTGGCACTGAAATCATTACACCTTCAAAGGTAATTAAAACATGGCGTTTTTGTTTTGTCCCGACGAGCCCCAGATTGTGAAGATACAGCTGTTCTCAGAAGCGATCGACAGAGACAAAGAGCAAGGTGTGCTTAGACCGGCTTTCATGGCAACAGCAGGAGCTTGACCTTTGCCCCGTCCCTGACCTCAAATCTATACTGTCAATGCATTTCTATGAGTGGAAAGCAAAAATGAACATGTGGAGTGAGGCCACGCCTGCTGGACTGCTAAAATGTTGAATCGGAGAAGCCACCTGGTAGAATCCACTTTTAGAGATGATATTTTACCATACAGAAGCAAAACACAGTAACTACGCCAACACTGTGAGTGAAAAAATTTGAGGCAAACACATCTGTCAGGAAAGATCACAGTCTAGTTAAAAGGAATGAATGTGCAAGGGTAAGTCTGTGGCTTGCTAATTTGGGGTTTAAAGGGGTCATATGACGTTGCTAAAAAGAACATTATGTTGTGTATTTGGTGTAATGAAATGTGTTTATGCAGTTTAAGGTTCAAAAAACATTATTTTTCACATAATGTACATTATTGTCGCGTCGAGTTTTACAAAGCTCATCATTCTGAAAAGCGAGGTGTGCTCTGATTGGCCAGCTATCCAGTGTGTTGTGATTGGCTGAATACCTCAAGGGTGTGACGGAAATGTTACGCCCCTCACCATACTGTGATACTGTGTCCCGGCGCGACGAGACAAAACCAATAAAACCCATTACAAACTAGGTATTTGTTGCATCCAGTGGGGACATAATTACTGATTATAATGACTTATACTGTCTTTTTATGCGTTGCGTATTGCGACGCGTAAACATAAAACCATGTCTGCAACAAGCGCTACTCTACACTGCTCAAAACTCGCGTTTGAATCATCAGTGGCAAATTCTTTAAATATAAAAAAACGTACTTACAGGCTGTGAGTCAGAAGCGCCAGACTGTCCTTGCAAAGTTGGAACTGCCCCACTTTATAGAAACAGCCTTTGTGCACAGACGCATTGTAGGCTAACGTTACTCTGCAGGATCAGGAAACAGTCTTCCATAAAATGCGCTGCACACATCTGAATATTTGGGTTGAACTGTTCTGGAACAGTGTTGTAAATACAACTTAACCACTGATTTGTAGGTGTGTCCTCTTTTATAAAGCCAAACAAAGTAGTTTCGCTTTCACAACGAAACACACGGCGGGCTTGAGTGAGAGGAGGCCGGCGGGCTTGAGAACGGCGCGGTCGGTGGATTCGACGAAGGGGTCCGGGCTTGCGGCAACCACATGTGATGACTCTGGGCTGGACTCCGCTTCGTCCACGGTGAAAGCCGATCTGGTGATTGACAGCACGAAGTTGATGTATTTCCTCAGCGACCGGCACGGATCAGCTCCAGGCATGATGAAGCAGATATCGTCCTCTTTTGGAAGAACAAACAAAGTAGTTTCGCTTTCACAACGAAACACACAGCGTCTTCACGACACGGCGGCAGCAACAACAATACTACAGCGAGAATAAAAGTTACACCTTCTTTCTTTGCGTGAACATTTGGGCGGCGTTATGCAAATCTTCCCACATTGTGACAGAGATATGTGGGGGCATGTTTGAACGAGGCGTTTTAGGGGGGCGTGGACGAGTCTTAACTTTTATAAAGAATATCTCTTTGGGTTTGAGACTTTAGTCTTTGCAACTTTAGGGATCTTATCTATGCACGAACAGCTTGTAAAACTCCAAAGAGAAAGAAAATTTTAAATTGCATCATATGACCCCTTTAATACTCAGTAAAATGATCAAAACTGAATTGAGCTGCATAATAACTTTAACTTTGCACCAATGCCATTGTTATTGAACTGAATTGAATCAACATTCAACTAAACTGAGCTGAATAATTACACTATTGTCTTCTGTAGAGCTGCTTTGTTATTTTCCTGTTTATTAATATGAAGCTGCTTTGAAACAATCTGGGTTTTTTAGAGCGCTATAAAAATAAATGTGACTTGACTTGAAGTGAATATCAGGTTATATTCAGGTAATTTTTATTTCACTTTTATGCCTTCATTTGTTAATTATTAACAAGTTAATTATGTAATCTCGTAAGCAATGCATGCATAATAATTACAAAAGCAAAATTTTAAAAATCACCATTTAAAAGACTTAGATAATTTTCCAATATCAGCTGGACAGATTTATTTTTTTTTTTTTATTAAGTATGCACTAGTAGGTTTGTTTCTATTTTATAACCAAAAAATGTATTATAATTTTTTATCTTTAGCATGAACATATTTTTGAATATTAGGAACACTATACATTATACCCTTAATATGAAATACACATAACCCACTGTGACATTTAGTTATCTTACAAATGCTAAACAAACTAAAGGATCAACATGAATGAAGTACATCACAGAAGTTAGCTCTCTTGATTTGATTACAAACATCAGTTGAAAAAAATCTAACTTACAAAATCATTACATTTACACATAACATTTATTTTAAAGCTTGGATGGCCAGTCAATGCATTTCCATTCTAAATGCCCTTAAAATGGACAGATCTGCCCTATCATAATGCAGACCAACGTCACTTGGAGGACTGCACAATGAAAAACTTCAGTGTATTTTAAACAAAACTTTGCTTGTTTACTTTTTTTGATTTTAGAACTTGTATTTAATCCAAACTATTCCTTTAAGATCTCTCATTCTTAAACCTCATTTATAAGCAAGGACACACTTATTTATTATTATCTTCTTGCACTAATCACTTTTAATCCATGTCATTACTCCACATAGCATATGTAGCTTTTAGAACTATACACTTAATGGTGAATCATGGTAAATGGTACATCTTTGACAAAGTGTAGGGTGAAACTGTGGGCTGGACTGGCTTGTATAGATATACAAAAAACGAATATAACTCCAAATATAATGATTAGCTCAAAACAACTAAACTTATTTAAAAATTGAACTAAAATTAACATGAAAGCAGAAAATACAAAAATAAAATATAATTCAAAATAATATGAATAATAATAATATCTCAATGATACTAAAACAACATTGCTCTAAATTAAACATGCATTTGAAATAACTAAATAAGTCAAATATGTTTACCCTGTTGATGCAGCAGTAAAATTATTTTATGTTTTCACCTGTGAGTGTAAGATCAGCCATCAATATTTTTGTGTCCATTTTCCAAGAAGAGAAAGACTGTAAATCTGCAAAAAGTTCATGTTGTAAACTTTTAGGAGTACATATACTGTAAATGATTTTAAAGCTACATGAACTAAACGCAATCGATTTTGATTTAACGTGGTCTTTCAAATATGGATTATGGTAAATGATCCATACTCTATTCATAGCTTTCACATAATGCATATAATGCATCGGCTGTCTAGAGATGTTCAACAGGAGAATTTAAATTTCACATACTGATAAAGCATGTTTCTTTCAACAGACACATATTTCCATTGTAAGAATATGTTTTGTGATTTTGTAGATCAAAGTGGATCCTCTTGCAAGTGCACCCAGCAAACTGACCAATACAACCGATGGAACAGTGTGCTCAAAAGCAAGAACACACACACGTGCTGAACTCTCAAGCAGGCGTTTGGTTCATGGGGTCAGTGGCCTGTCTTAGAAGAGTGTTTGATGATGGCGTTTTATTGTTCCATAAGGTCAAGTTCTTCAAAGCTTTCCATCGGCTCTCTATGGGGAGTGGGAGCTGCAGCTGTCAGCACACACTCTGCTTTTGTTTTTATATGAGAAGAGAAACAGGTCAAAGCCTCGCTCAAAAAAAGGTTTTATCAGGCTTAGGCACAAAGCGAAAGATGTAATATTGTTTTTCTCTGTTTCGTATTCTGTTTGAACTAAGGGGAACGTGAGTAGGAAGCTTGTGCAGTTCCCTATAATTAAGCTTTACCTTTTTCCTGGTTCAGAACAGTCCCAGAATGCTGTGTGAGAATCCAGAAATATACTCAATGCAAGTATGTAAACTCATATGCAAAAGCCTAGCCAACACATTGTAAGCATGCAGTGTTAATCTAAAATTTTGCTTTACTGCAATACCAATACATATAAGTTCTTTCATGACAACGCTTGGAGAGATTAGCATGCTAATATACATGGCAATGTTAATGTGTTTGGTGTCTGGGCTGCTTGAGAGCAAGTACCGAGACTTTCTACTGCCAATACATCCACAGTCATGTTGCTATGAGAATGTAGCAAATACTGCTGCTGCACATATACTGTAACATATACGAAATAACCCCATAACACACATGACATTACACCGTAGCAGATCTATACAGGTGGAGCTGGGGATGTGGAGGGTTTCTGAAGCGCGCTGCCACTACTACAGCAAACACTAGCTAAGTATTTGAATGTTGAGCAGCAAGCTCATTGGCTGCTGGTACAAAATGAAACCAATAAACTGCGCCATGTGAATAATTATGTCAATATGTCAGATTGAGAACATATCGGCCTGCGCCATCTAGAGTTTCATGACAGAACTTTGGATTGCTCTAATAGGTTAGAGATAAAATGCCTTCAAATGTCGGTGCCTTTAAACCTTGTGTGTTGTTATCTAGGGAGCAAGTGGTTAGCATTTTAACAATAACAAGCAAGATTCTCTTAAAACTGCATTGAGCTATGAATTGAGCTCTGATATTACATAACACAACAAATAAGGGTGCCCATATGCTAAAGTTTAGACTAAATATAAGAAACATTATTAGTGATGTAATGATTAAGACAATGCTGTACCAGGTGAGCTGATAAGTAAGTTTACCATGCTAGAAAAGCCAGATAGAGCTGGTTGTGTGATGCAAAAGTCAAACTGTATTCATTTACAAATCATGCAGTAGGGTAAAAGTGTTTTAGTATTTGTGAAAATATGTTTTTATTAATCGATAATCTACTACTATAATCAGAATTTGTGTGAAAGGAACAAAAACTGTTAGTAGTTTACTGCTACGAATGTTCATTTCAGTTGTAAACTGCAGTGAAATGTATGTACAGGAACATTTTTACAGCTTTGCAGAAATGTAGCCAGAGTCACGTATTTCCAATGAGCCTGGGTTGCAACATCCTCATAATGTAAGAAGATAACATAACTGCAAAGAAACCACAAGCTGAACATCTTTGATACCTTCATAGGAAATGGCCACAGATCAGGAGAATCAGTCGACACGAGTCTCTGAACAAGACCCAGGTCCCAACCTCATCGCAACATCCACTTCTAGATGGGAAGGTCCAGTGTCAGCCGGAAGACTGTAGGTCAGCTGTAATTCTCAAGTATGCTGAAGGACTTTAAAGAGAAAACATACTATAAGTCTGGCACACTTGACTGACCACCCTGTAGTTCCCATGCAGATGCTCTTGCACTCACCCACACCCTTGCTCAAACATAACATCAATGCAAACTTTTTTCCTTGCTGCCAGCAAACTGAAGAAGTCCTTTTTAATGCCGTTGCCAAGCATTTAGAGTTTCAAGTGGCAAAAAACACAGGCTTGAAAAGGTCTGTGGTTCGAGCCTTTGATAGCTGGAATGTGCTATTGAACATCAGTGCAAAACGTCTCTGTTGAAATTCATCAAAGCCTCTAAATTTATTTTCCACTTGCATGTGCTAACGGAATAAGAGTGACTTTGTATTTGTACATGCATCGCAAAAAATCAAGCTGCTTTCAGCAAGTTCCACTGCTATAACCTAATCCTAAAGTAATCCTCATGTGAAATATTCGAATAAGCTCATTAGAAAGAAAAATCATAAATTGTTTTTCCTAGTAGTGATAAGAAGTCTGATTCTTTCCGGTGAACTGTTTCTTTCTGACAGTTTGTTTCAATGAACTGGTTCAAATAATCATCAATTTGTTTGCATAATCATGCAATGATGTCATGTTTGTGCAATTCTATTATTAAAGCTCGCAATCATGATGTGAAACGTGGATGTTTTACATGTCTGAAGTAAATAAAGTGAATATTCTTAAACAACTCACCTTTTTAAAAAACCATGAGAAACCACGAAAAGCTTTCATTTCGAACCCATATTCATGTCAGCTACTTGGTTCAAGCATACTCGTATCAGCAGCACTTCAGTTCTCTGCAGAAATGTCCGAGTTTAAAGGAACACTCCACTATTTTTGAAAATAGGCTCATTTTCCAATTCCCCTAGAGTTAAACGGTTGAGTTTTACCGTTTTCGAATCCATTCAGCCGATCTCCGGGTCTGGCGGTAGCACTTTTAGCTGTAGCTTAGCATAGATCATTGAATCTGATTAGACCGTTAGCATCTCGCTCAAAAATGACCAGAGTTTCGATATTTTTCCAATTTAAAACTTGACCCTTCTGTAGTTACACCGTGTACTAAGACCGATGGAAAATGAAAAGTTGCGATTTTCTAGGCCGATATGACTAGGAACTATACTCTCATTCCGGCTTAATAATCAAGGAACTTTGCTGCCGTACCATGGGTACGGCAGGCGCAGTGATATTGCGCAACGCCTAAAGGCAGCAAAGTTCTCATTTTCCGTCGGTCTTAGTACACGATGTAACTACAGAAGAGTCAAGTTTTAAATAGGGAAAATTATAGAAACTCTTTGGCCATTTTTGAACGAGATGCTAACGGTCTAATCAGATTCAATGGTCTATGCTAAGCTACAGCTAAAAGTGCTACCGCCAGACCTGGAGATCGGCTGAATGGATTCGAAAACGGTAAAACTCAACCGTTTAACTCTAGGGGAATTGGAAAATAAGCCTATTTTCAAAAATAGTGGAGTGTTCCTTTAAACTGTTTCCTCAGTTCAGTGTACTGGTGATTTGAGAACTGTTGTAACCAGTAACTGACTCATCATGATTGGAGAGAGAACCGTTATCAGTGTACTGCTGTTCACTTGAAACATCTGCAATTGGATCACAGTTACATTTCCAATTCATTTGAATATTTAATGCTTTAGACTTTTCTGTTCTCAGTTCAGTGTGCTGTTGGAGTAACTGGAGCGCTGAATGAGCTGGAAAAAAATGGCATCATATGATCATATACTTCTGCATAATGGTTCATTTTAACTGTCATGCATGTCCAAAACTGAGTTTTGATTAAATAACTTGTAAATCTGTGCTGGCTCGAGCCGCAAACTGTTTCAGACGCTTCAGTCTGATTTGATGAATTAATACATTTCTTCTTTTGTGGTCAGTTTTCTCTTTCAGGATAACTACTGTCATGACAGAGCCACAGTTTGAAGAGAATCATGCTGAGCAGGTTCGTAAATATGTTTGATATGTAAAGTCAATATGTATAGAACAACTGAATAATAACATACCTGGTTTCATGTAAAAGCTGTCTAAATGTAACTCTATTGCGCCCTTGAGTACTGAGGTTTGTTCCGCCAGGTACGTTCAACCAGATTGTACGCTGTGTTCAGGTAAAGTGTGTTTTGGCCTTGAAATACTCTGACAAAATCAGACCAAAGCAAAGTTGGTTTGGAGTTCGTTTTGGGAGTTTCGGAGAGAAACAGTTTGACAGCGAAAACCTTCGAGAACAGACAGCACGCCACTGGTATTTTTGGTCATTATGAAAATTACCGTTGTCATGTCGTGTTAAATGAGAACAAAATATACCACACTGTCCAGGGAGAGACAAATGAAGATGTGCAGATTAAAGGTCCCAGGCTGGCACTACCCTGCTGTCCCAAACTGCAATTATGTTCTTTCCTTTCCTCTGTGCTTTCAGAAGGCTGTAGCATGCTTTTTAATGCAGGGAGAAAGTAAAAAAAATTAAATAAATGTAGACTTGTTGACTAGTGTGCCCTGAAATAGTATATGGCCAGGGTTGTAATTTGAAAAATGCTTTTGTCATTCCTTCAATTTCTTTCAACAGCGAGTGGGAACCAAAAAAGCAGAGCCAGATGTACAAAACAACACTGAATTTCTCAAGGTTAATTTTGAATTTTGCGTTTGCGGAGGATTTGTTACACTAATCTTGGGGCAACATTAAGACACAACACTTTGATTTCCATTTGATGTACATCAGAATCATTTATTGTGTCTTTAATTATTTATATGCATGCATAGTTTTAAGACAGTTGCAACCCGCCTAGAAAAGGAATAACAGTCTACGCTTGGCAAGAAATGTTGCAAGTGACAAAATTATGTAGAAAGCTTGAATTTTCACAAGTGAA